GAGGATATCCCCATAGTGGGGGGGAGGGGGGGGAAGATATCCCCATAGTGGGGGGGAGGGGGGAGGATATCCCCATAGTGGGGGGGGGAGGGGGGAGGATATCCCCATAGTGGGGGGGAGAGGGGATATCCCCATAGTGGGGGGGAGGGGGGATATCCCCAATAGTGGGGGGGAGGGAGGATATCCCCATAGTGGGGGGGAGGGGGGAGGATATCCCCATAGTGGGGGGGGGAGGGGGGAGGATATCCCCATAGTGGGGGGGAGGGGGGAGGATATCCCCATAGTGGGGGGGAGGGGGGGAGGATATCCCCATAGTGGGGGGGGAGGGGGAGGATATCCCCATAGTGGGGGGGAGGGAGGAGGATATCCCCATAGTGGGGGGGAGGGAGGAGGATATCCCCATAGTGGGGGGGAGGGAGGATATCCCCATAGTAGGGGGGAGGGAGGATATCCCCATAGTAGGGGGGAGGGAGGATATCCCCATAGTGGGGGGGGAGGATATCCCCATAGTGGGGGGGAGAGGGGATATCCCCATAGTGGGGGGGAGGGAGGATATCCCCATAGTAGGGGGGAGGGAGGATATCCCCATAGTAGGGGGGGAGGGAGGATATCCCCATAGTGGGGGGGGAGGGGGAGGATATCCCCATAGTGGGGGGGAGGGAGGAGGATATCCCCATAGTGGGGGGAGGGAGGAGGATATCCCCATAGTGGGGGGGAGGGAGGAGGATATCCCCATAGTGGGGGGGAGGGAGGAGGATATCCCCATAGTGGGGGGGGAGGGAGGATATACCCCATAGTGGGGGGGAGGGGGAGGATATCCCCATAGTGGGGGGGAGGGGGGAGGATATCCCCATAGTGGGGGGAGGGGGGAGGATATCCCCATAGTGGGGGGGGAGGGGGGAGGATATCCCCATAGTGGGGGGGGGAGGGGGGAGGATATCCCCATAGTGGGGGGGGAGGGGGGAGGATATCCCCATAGTGGGGGGGAGGGGGGAGGATATCCCCATAGTGGGGGGGAGGGGGGAGGATATCCCCATAGTGGGGGGGAGGGGGGAGGATATCCCCATAGTGGGGGGGAGGGGGGAGGATATCCCCATAGTGGGGGGGAGGGAGGAGGATATCCCCATAGTGGGGGGGAGGGGAGGATATCCCCATAGTGGGGGGGAGGGAGGATATCCCCATAGTGGGGGGGAGGGAGGATATCCCCATAGTGGGGGGAGGGAGGATATCCCCATAGTGGGGGGGAGGGAGGATATCCCCATAGTGGGGGGGAGGGGGGAGGATATCCCCATAGTGGGGGGGGAGGGGGGAGGATATCCCCATAGTGGGGGGGGAGGGGGGAGGATATCCCCATAGTGGGGGGGAGGGGGGAGGATATCCCCATAGTGGGGGGGGAGGGGGGATATCCCCATAGTGGGGGGGGAGGGGGGATATCCCCCATAGTGGGGGGGGGGATATCCCCATAGTGGGGGGGAGGGAGGATATCCCCATAGTGGGGGGAGGGAGGATATCCCCATAGTGGGGGGGAGGGAGGATATCCCCATAGTGGGGGGGAGGGAGGATATCCCCATAGGGGGGGAGGGAGGATATCCCCATAGTGGGGGGAGGGAGGATATCCCCATAGTGGGGGGGAGGGAGGGATATCCCCATAGTGGGGGGGGAGGGAGGATACACCATAGTGGGGGGGAGGGAGGAATCCCCATAGTGGGGGGGAGGGGGATATCCCCATAGTGGGGGGGAGGGAGGATATCCCCATAGTGGGGGGGGAGGGAGGATATCCCCATAGTGGGGGGAGGGAGGATATCCCCATAGTGGGGGGGGGGAGGGAGGATATCCCCATAGTGGGGGGGAGGTAGGATATCCCCATAGTGTGTAGGTAGGAGATAATGTGAAACCCCTACAGACATGAGACCTATCCGTCCTGGGGGTGGCTAGATGTTACATCACCATCCCACCTTCACCCAGACCCCCACAGTACCTCCACCCAGACCCCCACAGTACCTCCACCCAGACCCCCACAGTACCTCCACCCAGACCCCCAAAGTACCTCCACCCAGACCCCCACAGTACCCCTCCTAGGGTCCCAGTGAGGGGGGAGGGGGGAGGGAAAGAGATCCACACATTCTCCTGATGTCACCAGGAGAACACCTCCACCCAGACCCCCACAGTACCCCTCCTAGGGTCCCAGGGAGGGGGGAGGGGGGAGGGAAAGAGGTCACCAGGAGAGGCCTTTTCCCACCAACTATCAATCATCATCTCAATGGGTCTTTCTCTCTTTGTGCTTAAAACCAATCTCTCATGGAAAGAAAAGGAGGCTCTTTTCAACTCACATCAACTGAGCGATTCTCCCCCTCCCTCCCTCCACTTTCTCCCTGGTATGTCCTGTTCATGACTTCAATACACAGGAATCCTGACAGGATATTCATCACTATTGTGTATGTGTATGTGTGTGTCCTGTGTGTGTGTGTGTCCTGTGTGTGTGTGTGTCCTGTGTGTGTGTGTGTCCTGTGTGTGTGTGTGTCCTGTGTGTGTGTGTGTCCTGTGTGTGTGTGTGTCCTGTGTGTGTGTGTGTCCTGTGTGTGTGTGTGTCCTGTGTGTGAGTGATCCATGTTTCTGCGTTGGGAGATATCTGCCTTTGTTCCACAGCCTGCTATTCTACCAGCCAAACAACACCTGAAAGTGTGTGAGTGTGTCCGTGCGTGTATTTCGTGCGTGCGGGGGTGTGTGTGCTGACCTGGAATGTGTGTTCCATTGTACTTGATGTGCATCTCGTGAAGGCCGGCCTCGGTGGGGGCAAACTTCACTGTGACAGTCCCGTCCTTGTTGTCGATGATCTCAGGCTGAGCAGTCTTCCCTGATGGCATGTGGACCTCACCTAGAGAGAGAGAGAGAGAGAGAGAGACAGAGAGAGGCAGAGAGAGAGACAGAGAGCGTTAAAGAGAGAGAGCGTTAAAGAGAGAGAGCGTTAAAGAGAGAGAGCGTTAAAGAGAGAGAGAGAGCGTTAGAGAGCGTTAAAGAGCGAGCGTTAGAGAGCGTTAAAGAGCGAGCGAGCGAGAGCGAGAGAGACAGAAAGAGGGAGAGAACACAGGCTACTATGAGAGGAGTTACATTTCCCTACAATATGTAATGTCATTCTACCTGTGATCTCTCCATCAACAGGAAGTTAGATAGTTATTGGTCAGTATCTCACCTGTGATCTCTCCATCAACAGGAAGTTAGATAGTTATTGGTCAGTATCTCACCTGTTGATCTCTCCATCAACAGGAAGTTAGATAGTTATTGGTCAGTATCTCACCTGTGATCTCTCCATCAACAGGAAGTTAGATAGTTATTGGTCAGTATCTCACCTGTGATCTCTCCATCAACAGGAAGTTAGATAGTTATTAGTCAGTATCTCACCTGTGATCTCTCCATCAACAGGAAGTTAGATAGTTATTAGTCAGTATCTCACCTGTGATCTCTCCATCAACAGGAAGTTAGATAGTTATTGGTCAGTATCTCACCTGTGATCTCTCCATCAACAGGAAGTTAGATAGTTATTGGTCAGTATCTCACCTGTGATCTCTCCATCAACAGGAAGTTAGATAGTTATTGGTCAGTATCTCACCTGTGATCTCTCCCTTGCGGAAGGCGAAGGGAATGACCATGTCGAAGGGCCTGAAACCTGTTCCGTTCATACGGTTGGCTGGGTGGTAGGACCCGTCTGTCACCTGGAGCGGAGAGGAGGAGAAAACGGGGGGGAAGGGGGAGAAGAGGTGTAGACAACGGGGAGGGAGGGGGGAGACAACAGGGGGGAGGGGGAGACAAACGGGGAGGGGAGGGGGGAGACAACGGGGGGGGGGGGAGGGGGAGACAACGGGGGGGGGGGGAGGGGGAGACAACGGGGGGGGGGGGGGGGGGGGGGAGACAACGGGGGTGGGGGAGGGGGGAGACAACGGGGGGAAGAGGGGGTTTTGATTATTAAAAACGTTACCGATATGTCTTTGGTAGGAGATCTGTCAAAACAGGAGAGTGACAGTCTGTGGTCACATCACTGTATTTCTACCATTTACAGTCTCATGCTGCGTGAGTCTTCCTGCGATAAAGCTGAGGTAAGAGAAGGGATCAGGCAGGCAAACAGCCATCAGGTCAGACTGGTGCCGTTTGGCGCCTCTTGCAGGAGAAAGGTATGCATGGAGTAAGGGGGGAGAGAGAGAGAGAGAGAGATGGCAGATCACCCACAGCATACCTGGAAAAGCAAAGGCTCTCAGAACTCCTGGGAAGAGCGAGGAAGAGAAACCCAAAACCTGTAACCGTGGTAATGTAACCGTGGAAATGTAACCGTGGTAATATATAGTAGATGAGCTGGAAAGAGAAGCGAGAAGAGGAGAGAGGGGAGAGAGGAGGAGAGAGGGGGAGAGAGGGGAGAGGAGGAGAAGGGGGAGAGAGGAGGAGAAGGGGGAGAGAGAGGAGAAGGGGGGAGAGAGGGAGAGGAGGAGAAGGGGGAGGAGGGGAGAGGGAGGAGAGGGGAGAGGGGGAGAGAGGGGAGAGGGGAGAGGAGGAGAAGGGGGAGGGAGAGAGGGGAGAGGAGGAGAGAGAGGAGGAGAGACAGGGGGAGAGAAAGGGGGAGAGGACAGGGGGAGAGACAGGGGGAGAGACAGGGGGAGAGAAAGGGGGAGAGAAAGGGGGAGAGAAAGGGGGAGAGAAAGGGGGAGAGACGGGGGAGAGAGGAGACGAGAGGGGAGAAGAGAGGAGGAGAGGGGAGAGAGGAGGAGAGGGGGAGAGAGGAGGAGAGAAGAGAGAAGGAGAGGGGAGAGAGGAGAGAGGGGAGAGAAGAGAGGAGGAGAGAAGAGAGGAGGAGAGACGAGGAGACAGGAGACAAGAGGGGAGAAGAGAGGAGGAGAGAGGAGGATGCATTTGTTGATACTGTATCTACACTATCTGGGCTATTTTCTGTCTGTCCTCTATTCTGTGTGTGTGTGTCCGGGTGTGTGTGTGTGTCCGGGTGTGTGTGTGTGTGTGTGTGTGTGTTTGTCTGGGTGTGTGTGTGTGTCCTCCCACGCTTTCCTTTTCTGGTGGGAACAGGAGAGAGAGAGGGGTCCATTGTACTGTAATGGGTCTGGCATGGGGCCATGGTGGGGCGCTGACTAACCAGGAGGCCAGAATGGAGACCAGATAACTCAATGGAACTAACATTGCATGGGACACCTGTTTTTCCAGTGTATAATCAGAGTGGGGTAGAATATCAGGGTTTGGGAAGGCCAAAGAGACTGAAGGAAGAAACAGTGTTCAGCCATTAGAAGACATGAATAGCCACTTCCTACAAATATGATGGAGAGAAGCTGGAGTCATTCAGTGACATTTATCATGAAGTTGGGGGGGGAGGAAGGGACGCCATGAGAGAGGGAGGGTGATCATTCAGTGTCAGGGATCAGAGAGAAAAATCAGAGGCCCATGGACGGAAGGATGGAGGGGGTCCGGAGAGAGGGGAGGGGGTCCGGAGAGAGGGAGGGGGTCCGGAGAGAGGAGGAGGTCCGGGAGAGAGGGAGGGGGTCCGGAGAGAGGGTGGGCCAGAGGGAGGGAGGGAGGGTGGGAGGGAGGGCCGGCCGTAGGGAGGGAGGGAGGGAGGGAGGGCCGGCCAGAGGGAGGGAGGGAGGGCCAGAGGAAGGGCCGGAGGGAGGGAGGGAGGGCCGGTAGGGAGGGAGGGAGGGAGGGCCCAGAGGAGAGGGAGGAGGGTGGGCCGGAGGGAGGGAGGAGGGAGGGAGGGAGGGGAGGGAGGGAGGGAGGGAGGGAGGGAGGGGGAAGGGCGGAGGGAGGGAGGGAGGGAGGGAGGGCCAGAGAGAGGGAGGGAGGGAGGGAGGGCCGTAGGGAGGGAGGGGGAGGGAGGGAGGGAGGGCCCAGAGGGAGGGAGGGAGGGAGGGAGGGAGGGGGGAGGAGGGAGGGAGGGAGGGAGGGAGGGAGGGAGGGAGGGAGGGAGGGAGGGAGGGAGGGAGGGCCGTAGGGAGGGAGGGAGGGAGGGAGGGCCGGAGGGAGGGAGGGAGGGAGGGCCGGAGGGAGGGAGGGAGGGCCGGAGGGAGGGCCGGAGGGAGGGAGGGAGGGAGGGCCAGAGAGATCTCCTTGAGGTGCAGGGCAGGCTGTGTGTGACAGAGAGGGATGAGGGATGGATAGAGGTGGTTCTCTACTCTGTACCCAGGGCTGGAATCCGGCGGCTCCAGGAGCAGCTGACTGCTGATTGGCTGACTGTTGCTGCATCATCGGAGCCTCATCAGTCGCCTGGGGAATCACAACCAGGTCAGGCTTCAGACACACACACACGGGGACAGACATGATAACCATCACCACCACAATCAAAACATGATCTAAAATGTCTGCACAGGATCAGACAAATAATACAGGGATGCATTTTCTAAACACATTAGAGCATCCCTCTCACTGACAGAGAGACGGGAACGGTGCAGAGCCAGAAACGGTGCAGGATATACGTTTTTTTGGGACAACACAGGAGACCATAACCTCACCATGACTCTGAAGGGGCTCTTGGGGACGTTCTCCCCTCCAAAGCGTACGTATATGACATAGTTCCCGGGGGTCGGGGCGGTGTAGAAGATATCGAATGTTCCGTCCTCGTTCTGGATGACATCAGCCTCCACCTCTGTCCCGTCCGGCGTCACAACGATACACGTCACCTTTCCCTTCCCAGCTGCCTTAGCGTTGACCACGAAGCCCACTTCCTGCCCGACCGCGATGACGGGGGCGATACCGGGACCTGGTAGGATAAACAGATGAGAGATCAGTCTGGAGAAGAAAAAGCTTAACTGAAAAGCCAAAATGAACATTTCAGGTTGTTGTAATTGTGAGGCGTGTATGATGAAGATGTTATTCTAATGTACGTTGTATCGATTTGATTCTATGTATTTATGTGGAAGCAGCGACACCCTTTAAAATGTCCAAGATAAATTTCCCCCTGGGCGAATAAAGTATATCCTATCTGGCTGGAAGGACCAGGGTTTGTAACGCCACATTTCCTCCACAGGGTGCTTGGACTACAGACCTGGACTATTGTGTTTCCACCTCTGAGCCCAAAGAGGAGGGCTGTAGTTAACATATATTATGTTTCCTCTCCGGGAAAAATTAGCAAAAAAAATGTTTCTCTATCCACGGCTTTTGGAATTCTCGATGCTCCGTGATTGAATGGGCTTGAGGGCCAGATCCGGAATGCAGACCGTATGTTTGACGCCCCTGTCGTGGTAGATCCCCAAAGCACACCATGACTCACTCACCGGTGACTGTGCACTTGCTGGCATCTCCTGAGGAGGTGGCTCTGACCCGGTAGGGCGAGGCAGGGATCTCATCTCCTCCGTACTTTATCACGATGGTATAGCGGCCGACCTTGTCAGGTACATAAGACACCAGATATGTCCCGTCACCATTGTCATGGATACCAACCCTCTTCGGCTTCCCATCCTGGTCCTGAGAAAACAACAACGTTTCAGACGTATTATACTCCTATACGTGATCCTGTCTATAGAGGTTATACTCCTATACGTGATCCTGTAGATTTTTCTGTTCCAATGACTCTCTGGGGGGGGGGGGGGGGGGGGGGAGAACTGAATAATATTAAGAAATGCTATAGATGGAAGGAAAGTAGTGTTGAAACCTACCAAAAAACTATTAGGAAACAACAAATTCAATCCATTCTAGACAACTTCCTGGACAAAACGTTCCACTGTTATAGTGAAGGTGTAAACTTGGCAGTAGAAAACCTAAACAGTATATTTGACCTCTCAGCTTCCCTATCAAATCTAAAAATCTCTAACAGAAAACCAAAGAAAAGTAATAACAGTGATAAATGGTTTGATGAAGAATGCAAAAACCTAAGAAAGAAATTGAGAAACCTATCCAACCAAAAACATAGAGACCCAGAAAACCTGAGCCTACGCCTTCACTATGGTGAATCACTAAAACAATACAGAAATACACTACGGAAAAAGAAGGAACAGCACGTCAGAAATCAGCTCAATGTAATTGAAGAATCCATAGACTCTAACCACTTCTGGGAAAATTGGAAAACACTAAACAAACAACAAGACGAAGAGCTATCTATCCAAAACGGAGATATATGGGTAAACCACTTCTCATGCTTTGTTGATTTCAAAAAAGCTTTTGACTCAATTTGGCATGAGGGTCTGCTATACAAGTTGATGGAAAGTGGGGTTGGGGGAAAAACATACGACATTATAAAATCCATGTACACAAACAACAAGTGTGCGGTTAAAATTGGCAAAAAACACACACATTTCTTTCAACAGGGCCGTGGGGTGAGACAGGGATGCAGTTTAAGCCCCACCCTCTTCAACATATATATCAACGAATTGGCGAGGGCACTAGAACAGTCTGCAGCACCCGGCCTCACCCTACTAGAATCTGAAGTCAAATGTCTTCTGCTGATGATCTGGTGCTTCTGTCACCAACCAAGGAGGGCCTACAGCAGCACCTAGATCTTCTGCACATATTCTGTCAGACCTGGGCCCTGACAGTAAATCTCAGTAAGACAAAAATAATGGTGTTCCAAAAAAGGTCCAGTTGCCAGGACCACAAATACAAATTCCATCTAGACACCGTTGCCCTAGAGCACACAAAAAACTATACATACCTCGGCCTAAACATCAGCGCCACAGGTAACTTCCACAAAGCTGTGAACGATCTGAGAGACAAGGCAAGAAGGGCCTTCTATGCCATCAAAAGGAACATAAAATTTGACATACCAATTAGGATCTGGCTAAAAATACTTGAATCAGTTATAGAGCCCATTTTCCTTTATGATTGTGAGGTCTGGGGTCCGCTCACCAACCAAGAATTCACAAAATGGGACAAACACCAAATTGAGACTCTGCATGCAGAATTCTGTTAAAACATCCTCCGTGTACAACGTAAAACACCAAATAATGCATGCAGAGCAGAATTAGGCCAATACCCGCTAATTATCAAAATCCAGAAAAGAGCCGTTAAATTCTATAACCACTTAAAAGGAAGCGATTCCCAAACCTTCCATAACAAAGCCATCACCTACAGAGAGATGAACTTGGAGAAGAGTCCCCTAAGTAAGCTTGTCCTGGGGCTCTGTTCACAAACACAAACAGACCCCACAGAGCCACAGGACAACAACACAACTAGACCCAACCAAATCATGAGAAAACAAAAAGAGAATTACTTGACACATTGGAAAGAATTAACAAAAAAACAGAGCAAACTAGAATGCTATTTGGCCCTAAACAGAGAGTACACAGTGGCAGAATACCTGACCACTGTGACTGACCCAAACTTAAGGAAAGCTTTGACTATGTACAGACTCAGTGAGCATAGCCTTGCTATTGAGAAAGGCCGCCGTAGGCAGACCTGGCTCTCAAGAGAAGACAGGCTATGTGCACACTGCCCACAAAATGAGGTGGAAACTGAGCTGCACTTCCTAACCTCCTGCCAAATGTATGACCATTTTAGAGACACATATTTCCCTCAGATTACAGCGATCCACAAAGAATTAAAAAACAAATCCAATTTTGATAAACTCCCTTATCTACTGGGTGAAAAACCACAGTGTGCAATCACAGCAGCAAGATTTGTGACCTGTTGCCACAAGAAAAGGGCAACCAGTGAAGAACAAACACCATTGTAAATACAACCCATATTTATGTTTATTTATTTTCCCATTTGTACTTTAACTATTTGCACATTGTTACAACACTATATATATACATAATATGACATTTGAAATGTCTTTATTCTTTTGGAACTTCTGAGTGTAATATTTACTGTTCATATTTATTGTTTATTTCACTTTTGTTGACTATCTACTTCACTTGCTTTGGCAATGTTAACATACATTTCCCATGCCAATAAAGCCCTTAAATTGAAAATTGAAATTGAGAGAGAATGAGTGTGAATCACTGTGTGTTGTGTTGAGCTATACTCTGTTGCCGGTAGAACTGAGCCCACCCTCCAGGAGGGGCTTTAAGATCACCTCTGGGCCTTCATCAAATTACATCCCAATATATAACAGATTGATAATGCTAGCAGTTAGTTTGCTCGGAGTAAGTTTGCTCGCAGTTAGTTTGCAGACAACTAATTATGACAACTTTGATTCCAATCCAGTACCCCAGGGGGCTCCAGACTCACACCATTCAGTAGCATTATGCGACCCCTTTGACTTGACTTTGCGAGTAAACAAAAAATGTATTGGTGTCAGTGTGAGCTGAACACACAGTACCAGTCAAAGGTTTGGACACGCTTACTCATTCCATTTATTTTTTACTATTTTCTACCTTGTAGAATAATAGCGAAGACATCAGAACTATGAAATAACATATATGGAATCATGTAGTAACCAGAAAAGTGTTAAACAAACCAAAATATATTTTATATTTGAGATTCTTCAAAGTAGCCACCCTTTGCCTTGATGACAGCTGGGCCTGCTGCTGTGAATAGCCTCTTGATGTGCGCTCCGGGAGAGACAAAAAGGCCTTCTGATTGTTTAACGTTTCAAAATCCAAATTGTGGGAAATGCATAGCTTCGGAAGCAACTAGTGTTGTTCTCAGCTTCCTGTGGGTATAATAGCAATAAGGCCCGGGGGGGTGTGGTATATTGGCCATATACCCCGGAGGAGCCTTATTGCTATTATAAACTGGTTACCAACGTAATTAGAGCAGTAAAAATTAAATGTTTTGTCATACCTGTGGTATACGGTCTGATATACCACGGCTGTCAGCCAATCAGCATTCAGGGCTCTAACGACCCAGTTAATAATGATTTATTTGTAATCTCTTAATATTAAGATCAACAGCAACTATTTTACAACCAAAGATATTTGATATGGATTTTATACGAAGCGCGCAACTGCGCATCGGCCATCGTGAGTGCATTGGGTAGCAGGCTACAACTTATTTTTTAGAATATTACATTTACTGTTAGATTAATACATGACTACTAGCAGTGAGTATTATATTTAGTGTTAGCGATCTAGCTAATGTGTTTTGAGTTTTCACTTCCTCGTGTGGTGAATTAGCCCCCAAATAAATGTGCCTACGATATTAGTGCACATAAAGATGTAGGAAAATTGATCTCTATTGAAAAACAAAATTAAAAAAATTCTGGAGCCCTATTTTAACAGTATAATCACCTCCCAGATCATAGTTGTCTGGCTGATCACCTCCCAGATCATAGTTGTCTGGCTGATCACCTCCCAGATCATAGTTGTCTGGCTGATCACCTCCCAGATCATAGTTGTCTGGCTGATCACCTCCCAGATCATAGTTGTCTGGCTGATCACCTCCCAGATCATAGTTGTCTAGCTGATCACCTCCCAGATCATAGTTGTCTGGCTGACAGCTGATCACCTCCCAGATCATAGCCGTCTGGCTGACAGCTGATCACTCCAGATCATAGTGTCTGGCTGATCACCTCCCAGATCATAGTGTCTGGCTGATCACCTCCCAGATCATAGTTGTCTAGCTGATCACCTCCCAGATCATAGTTGTCTGGCTGACAGCTGATCACCTCCCAGATCATAGCCGTCTGGCTGACAGCTGATCACCTCCCAGATCATAGCCGTCTGGCTGACAGCTGATCACCTCCCAGATCATAGCCGTCTGGCTGACAGCTGATCACCTCCCAGATCATAGCCGTCTGGCTGACAGCTGATCACCTCCCAGATCATAGTGTTCTGGCTGACAGCTGATCACCTCCCAGATCATAGCCGCCTGGCTGACAGCTGATCACCTCCCAGATCATAGTGTTCTGGCTGACAGCTGATCCCCTCCCAGATCATAGTTGTCTAGCTGATCACCTCCCAGATCATAGCCGTCTGGCTGACAGCTGATCACCTCCCAGATCATAGCCGTCTGGCTGACAGCTGATCACCTCCCAGATCATAGTGTTCTGGCTGACAGCTGATCACCTCCCAGATCATAGCCACCTGGCTGACAGCTGATCACCTCCCAGATCATAGTGTTCTGGCTGACAGCTGATCCCCTCCAGATCATAGCCGTCTGGCTGACAGCTGATCACCTCCCAGATCATAGCCGCCTGGCTGACAGCTGATCACCTCCCAGATCATAGTGTTCTGGCTGACAGCTGATCCCCTCCCAGATCATAGCCGTCTGGCTGACAGCTGATCACCTCCCAGATCATAGCCGCCTGGCTGACAGCTGATCACCTCCCAGATCATAGTTGTCTGGCTGACAGCTGATCACCTCCCAGATCATAGCCGTCTGGCTGACAGCTGATCACCTCCCAGATCATAGCCGTCTGGCTGACAGCTGATCACCTCCCAGATCATAGCCGTCTGGCTGACAGCTGATCACCTCCCAGATCATAGCCGTCTGGCTGACAGCTGATCACCTCCCAGATCATAGTGTTCTGGCTGACAGCTGATCACCTCCCAGATCATAGCCGCCTGGCTGACAGCTGATCACCTCCCAGATCATAGTGTTCTGGCTGACAGCTGATCACCTCCCAGATCATAGCCGCCTGGCTGACAGCTGATCACCTCCCAGATCATAGTGTTCTGGCTGACAGCTGATCCCCTCCCAGATCATAGTTGTCTAGCTGATCACCTCCCAGATCATAGCCGTCTGGCTGACAGCTGATCACATCCCAGATCATAGCGTCTGGCTGACAGTGATCACCTCCCAGATCATAGCCGTCCTGGCGACAGCTGATCACCTCCCAGTCATAGCCGTCTGGCTGGACAGCTGATCACCTCCCAGATCATAGCCGTCTGGCTGACAGCTGATCACCTCCCAGATCATAGCCGTCTGGCTGACAGCTGATCACCTCCCAGATCATAGCCGTCTGGCTGACAGCTGATCCCCTCCCAGATCATAGCCGTCTGGCTGACAGCTGATCCCCTCCCAGATCATAGCCGGGGATGTCCTCCCATAGGTCTGGCTGACAGCTGATCCCCTCCCAGATCATAGCCGTCTGGCTAACAGCTGATCACCTCCCAGATCATAGCCGTCTGGCTAACAGCTGATCCCCTCCCAGATCATAGCCGTCTGGCTGACAGCTGATCCCCTCCCAGATCATAGCCGTCTGGCTAACAGCTGATCACCTCCCAGATCATAGCCTAGACACTAGCCGTTATAGGTTTCTCCAAAGTCCAGCCTGATTCTCGAACCACAACACCACAAGACTACCCTCAGGTCAACTCACTGTGATCTGGACTGACAGCTGTCCCTCTCCAGCGTCCTTGGCATCAATGGTGAACTCTACTGGAAGGCTGGCTGGCACTCCGGTGGTTAGACCAGGTCCGCTGGCACGCACCTTACTGGCATCATGGGTAGGCAGCACTCGCAGCTTGAAGGGGCTGGACGAGGAAGTAAACAATTACAATAATATCAACAAGTGGAGGAAACTAGCGGAACGGGCATCACAGACAGGGCCCAGAGTAGAGGAACCTTTATCTTTATAGTAGAAAATCCCTAAATGAAATATATATATTTTTTTTCTTCTTCTTCCTAAATGTAAATCTTAGTGCGGTTATCACAAAATATATTCTTTGCTGTGTTCTACCCTAACTAACTAGAGGATAACTTAAATAAAACCAGAGGAACAAACTTTAGGCTACTTGGTGAAGACATTCAGATACAGATTACCACAGGTAACTGCCAAAATAAAGGAAACCCCCCAACATAGTGTCAAAAACAGCTTCAGTTACTCAAGTGTGGTGGCCGACCTGCCTGTACTGATAGATAGAACCGTGCACTAGGTCTGTCTGTCTGTCTGTCTGGTGGCCGACCTGCCTGTACTGATCGATAGAACCGTGCACTAGGTCTAACTGTCTGTCTGGTGGCTGACCTGCCTGTACTGATCGATAGAACCGTGCACTAGGTCTGTCTGTCTGGTGGCTGACCTGCCTGTACTGATCGATAGAACCGTGCACTAGGTCTGTCTGTCTGTCTGGTGGCCGACCTGCCTGTACTGATAGATAGAACCATGCACTAGGTCTGTCTGTCTGTCTGGTGGCCGACCTGCCTGTACTGATATAGAACCGTGCACTAGGTCTGTCTGTCTGTCTGGTGGCCGACCTGCCTGTACTGATAGATAGAACCGTGCACTAGGTCTGTCTGTCTGTCTGGTGGCTGACCTGCCTGTACTGATATAGAACCGTGCACTAGGTCTGACTGTCTGTCTGTCTGGTGGCCGACCTGCCTGTACTGATAGATAGAACCATGCACTAGGTCTAACTGTCTGTCTGGTGGCCGACCTGCCTGTACTGTACCCTTCCCCTCCCTCTCACCCTCGCTATCTCACTATGAAAGACGAAAGTGTTCGCGTTCTCGGAAGTACGGCAACTAAATTGGTCTTCTCTGTTCCAAACATACTGAAACTTAGGAGTCGAGGAATTTTATTCACGTGTAGTTGTATGATTACTTTCGTATCGTTTAAACTGAATTATAAAAAATAAAAGGCTGTTTAAATGTTAAGAATTGCCCATTTGTCACATCTCTAGCCTGGAGATTTTCCTAGTCAGATCATAGGGAAAACTCTGGGATCTAAGGAGGAATTTTTCACAATATACAGTAAGTGGTTTATCTGCTGTGATCCAGAGCAGTACTCATGGCTAAATAATACAAGACAACCGCTGTCCTGTATGTAACGGAGTCTAGTTTAGTGAGTTACCTGCGCGGGAGCTCCTCGTCAGCGTACTTGACCACTACAGAGTAGGGTCCCTCCACTGAAGGGGTGTAGGCTACCGTATGTGTTCCATCTCCATTGTCTGTGATCTCCACCGGCTCAGCCACACCTGACGACCAACACACACAACTAACATGAGGACAGGACCTTTCTTAGACGCACCGGACGGGGAAAATAAAGTGGTATTGAACTGAATTAGACACAATAATAAAGTTGAACTGAATTAGACACAGAATGCTGCCTATGACCCCAAGAACACCATCACCACCGTCAAACATGGAGGTGGAAACATTATGCTTTGGGGGGTGTTTTTCTGCTAAGGGGACAGGACAACTTCACCGCATCAAAGGGACGATGGACGGGGCCATGTACCGTCCAATCTTGGGTGAGAACCTCCTTCCCTCAGCCAGGGCATTGAAAATGGGTCGTGGATGGGTATTCCAGCATGACAATGACCCAAAACACACGGCCAAGGCAACAAGCGTCGGCTGGAGTGGTGTAAAGCTCGCCACCATTGGACTCTGGAGCAGTGGAAATGCGTTCTCTGGAGTGATGAATCACGCTTCACCATCTGGCAGTCTGACGGACGAATCTGGGTTTGGCGGATGCCAGGAGAACGCTACCTGCCCCAATGCATAGTGCCAACTGTAAAGTTTGGTGGAGGAAGAATAATGGTCTGGGGCTGTTTTTCATGGTTCGGGCTACGCCCTTTAGTTCCAGTGAAGGGAAATCTTAACGCTACAGCATACAATGACATTCTAGACCATTCTGTACTTCCAACTTTGTGACAAACCCATTGAACCCCTTTGGGATGAATTGGAACGCCGACTGCGAGCCAGGCCTAATCGCCCAACATCAGTGCCCCACCTCACTAATGCTCTTGTGGCTGAATGGAAGCAAGTCCCCACAGCAATGTTCCAACATCTAGTGGAAAGCCTTCCCAGAAGAGTGGAGGCTGTTTTAGCAGCAAAGGGGGGGACCAACTCCATATTAATGCCCATGATTTTGGAATGAGATGTTCGATGAGCAGGTGTCCACATACTTTTGGTCATGTAGTGTAAGTATTCACACCCCTGACTCAGCACTTTGTAAGACATAGAAAAATGTGTAGAATTGCAGGAAATGAGCTTTAAAAACAGTAGAACAATTCTCTGCTCCATGCAAAATGTGTAGATATAATCGGCACAAGTCTTTTTGGGTAAGTTCCCCGCAGTCTGCTGTTCCCCGCAGTCTGCTGTTCCCCGCAGTCTTTTAAAATTAACAGAAATAAAACGAATCCAGTCTGCCCTTTAAGTGCGGTGACGGCCACAGAGAGAGGGGCCACCACAGAAAATGAATCAAACCTCACCTTTGGGAGCGGTGACGGCCACAGAGAGGGGAGCCACCCCGGCCTTGCTGCAGTCCACAGTGAAGGATTGTGGGATCTTGGCGCGGACCCCTGAGCCCACGCCGGGTCCTGAGATCTTCACCTTGCTGGGGTCAACCATGTCCTTCACTGGTACCTTGAATGGACTGCCTGATGGACAAAGGGACACAGAGAGAGAGAGAGAGAGAGAGACTGTTAGATACCAGACAGACAGATGGACTGTTCGATACACTACCAGACGGCTGGGGCTTGGAGTTTTTCCTAAACCAGGTTATCAGAAAAAAACTAAGCTCAAATGGTACGGTGAAACTCTGGGCACCAAATAGAACAACAACATAGCCAACAACATCAGTGTGTGTGTGAGTGAGTCCTTCACTGGTATCTTGAACGGACTGCCTGGTGGACAGACAGATGGGACGAGTGTATGTAATGTTCCCATGGTTTTACAGTACAACAGACAGTTAAAGTACTCTCTGGTCTACCTTGGAGCAGAGTAGATAATATAGACTGTATACTGTAGACCAGGGGTCTTCAACCTTTTCTTGCCCAGGGACCCCCGGCCCGGAAAACCGGCAACCCAGGGACCCCCCGCCCCGGAAAACCGGCAACCCAGGGACCCCCCCGCCCCAGGAAAACCGGCAACCCAGGGACCCCCCCGCCCCGGAAAACCGGCAACCCAGGGACCCCCCCGGCCCGGAAAACCGGCAACCCAGGGACCCCCGGCCCGGAAAACCGGCAACCCAGGGACCCCCCGCCCCGGAAAACCGGCAACCCAGGGACCCCCCGCCCCGGAAAACCGGCAACCCAGGGACCCCCGGCCCAGGAAAACCGGCAACCCAGGGACCCCCGACCCAGGAAAACCGGCAACCCAGGGACCCCCGGCCCAGGAAAACCGGCAACCCAGGGACCCCCGGCCCAGGAAAACCGGCAACCCAGGGACCCACGGCCCAGGAAAACCGGCAAACCCTATTATATCTATATATACATCTATCTATATATCTATTTTCGTGGACCCCCTGCATTACCTCGGCCGCGGAGCCCTGGTTAAATACCCCTGCTGTAGACGGTCTACTGAAATAGGAGTCTACTAAACCCTATACAGATGATTTACTGACATTGCCCTGCAAAATCAAAACCATGACGTCTGTGTGGGCCTGAAATCTGTGTGTCTGCGTCCCAAATAGGATGATTTTTTGGGACACAGACTGAACGTGTGGCAGAGAGAAGTCACCCTGCCTATAACATTCAGAACGCAGAAATCAATAGTTACCATATCCAGAGATGAATCATCTATTTCATGCTGCAACATACAGACAACACTAAGAACAAGAACAGCAGTCTTTGAAACAAGTTTAGCCCTCCACGATAATATCTATAAAAACAGTAAGCATCGTTTACATTCCATGTAAAGAACCTGGTGTATTAAATGAGAGAATTCACTTTTTATTCAGTATTGTTGTTACAGGAACATATGGTGTGCTGTTGCTTAAATACTCGGAGTCCTTCCCAGTAATATCTCCTTTCTCCGAAGGCTTTTTTGTTTTTTTTTGTTTGTTGTTCACTTCCCTTCATGGATTTGAAAATAAATGACTGGTATATGGAAACTCCCTCTAACCCAGTGGTCACCAAACACGTCTGTAGAAAAGCCATCGATAAAGGCATTACTAGTAGATCACCAAACACGTCTGTAGAAAAGCCATCGATAAAGGCATTACTAGTAGATCACCAAACACGTCTGTAGAAAAGCCATCGATAACGGCATTAACTAGTAGATCACCAAACACGTCTGTAGAAAAGCCATCGATAAAGGCATCACTAGTAGATCACCAAACACGTCTGTAGAAAAGCCATCGATAAAGGCATTACTAGTAGATCACCAAACACGTCTGTAGAAAAGCCATCGATAAAGGCATCCCTAGTAGATCACCAAACACGTCTGTAGAAAAGCCATCGATAAAGGCATTACTAGTAGATCACCAAACACGTCTGTAGAAAAGCCATCGATAAAGGCATTACTAGTAGATCACCAAACACGTCTGTAGAAAAGCCATCGATAAAGGCATTACTAGTAGATCACCAAACACGTCTGTAGAAAAGCCATCGATAAAGGCATTACTAGTAGATCACCAAACACGTCTGTAGAAAAGCCATCGATAAAGGCATTACTAGTAGATCAACAAACACGTCTGGCAGAAGGTGCACTTGATTCAGAAACCCTGGCGCCGGGTAAGCAGAGTGTTCTCATTTTAAACCATTCTATGTGTCTGAAGGGACTAACTCTGCCTACCTGGCAGACCAGGAGAGCTGTGCTAAATCAAGCGCACCTACATGTACTGGCCAATCGGATGGCTCAAATCACAGCGCCTAGTACAGCTTCCACAACCCCACAGCAAAGTTTGATACTAGCCTACGAGAGATTTCATCACTTTTAAAACCATGACCAGAGAGAAACTGTCAACGAATATAGCAAAGAGCTGTATGTTCACATTTTTTAATCAGCACTGTCAACACTGTTTTTTAAACAAAAATAGATATGCGCTTGTCCCGACTAACAGTGCAGCTGCACTGAATTAGCAGCCAAGTGTATCGATAGGCCTGCACTTCTATTATTAGCAGCTCGTCACGTATATTTTAATATCAAGAAATATTTCACTTCCTCTGGTCATAGGAACAACATGAATTTGTGCATCGCCATCAGTGGGACGACTGTGTCCCCTCTGGTCAGTCTCAGCGGAGGGAGAGAGGGAGAGAGGGAGAGGGAGAGGGGGAGAGGGGAGGGGTGAGAGGGGAGGGGGGGAGGGTGGAGAGGGGGAGGGAGGGAGGGAGGGAGGGAGAGAGAGAGGGAGAGGGAGGGAGGAGAGAGGGAGGGAGGGAGGGAGGGGTGGGAGGGAGGGAGGGAGGGAGGGGTGAGAGGGGAGGGAGGGAGGGAGAGGGAGGGAGGGAGGGAGGGGTGGGAGGGAGGGAGGGAGGAGGGGTGAGAGGGGAGGGAGGGAGGGGTGAGAGGGGAGGGAGAGAGGGAGAGGGAGGGAGGGAGGGAGGGGTGGGAGGGAGGGAGGGAGGGGTGAGAGGGGAGGAGGGAGGGAGGGGTGAGAGGGGAGGGTGAGAGGGGAGGGGGGGAGGGAGGGTTGAGAGGGGAGGGGGGGAGGGTGAGAGGGTGAGAGGGGGGGGGAGGGTGAGAGGGGGGGGGGAGGGGTGAGAGGGAGGGGTGAGAGGGGAGGGTGAGAGGGGAGGGAGGGAGGGAGGGCACGTTTTGTTTTTTGCCCTAGCACTACACAGCTGATTCTATTTTGGGGTAATTTTTTTTTTTTGAAACAACACAAAACATACACATACAAACGACAGCATACAAAACACACAACGACGTCACCCTGCCCAGACCCACCCCACCCCCATCTCCATCAACCACATCCCTCCTGCCCAGACCCACCTGCTCACCCCCCATCTCCAGCGCCTGCATCACTCTCCGCCACATGGCCTCAAACTGCACAGCTGATTCAAATAACCAACTCATCATCAAACTTTGATTATTTGATTCAGCTGTGCAGTGCTAGGGCAAAAACCAAAAGGTTCACCCGGGGAGGAGGTCGGGGTCGGGGTCGGTCGGGCAGCCATGACAGAGTTTGGGAAAACTCTGTAGTAGATTATATTAGATTATAGTTACCTGGGATGTGTTTTCCTCCATATGTGATGTTAACGTCGTACAGGCCTGGGACGAATGGGATGTACTCTACGTTACAGCTGCCATCTTTATTGTCTTTACAGGACATCTTGGACTCTGACGGGCCTTCTACTGTGATGCCCAGACCTCCGATACCTGCCCCTCTGAAAAAACAAACATGTCAGAAACGGGGATACATAATAAATACAAATACTACTACTACAACAAAAGGAGTTGATTGTGGACTACAGGAAACGGAGGGCCGAGCACGCCCCCATCCACAGGAATGTTGTGGAGCAGGTCAAGAGCTTCCAGTTATTCGGTGTCCACATCACTAAGGATCTATCATGGTGTCCACATCACTAAGGATCTATCATGGTGTCCACATCACTAAGGATCTATCATGGTGTCCACATCACTAAGGATCTATCATGGTGTCCACATCACTAAGGATCTATCATGGTGTCCACATCACTAAGGATCTATCATGGTGTCCACATCACTAAGGATCTATCATGGTGTCCACATCACTAAGGATTTATCATGGTCCACCCACACCAACACAGTTGTGAAGAGGGCACGACAACGCCTCTTCCCCCTCAGGAGACTGAAAAGATTCGGCATGGGGCCCTCAAATCCTCAGACAGTTCTACAGCTGCACCATTGAGAGCATCTTGACTAGCTGCATCACCGCTTGGTATGGCAACTGCTTGGCATCCAACCACAAGGTGCTACAGAGGGTAGTGTGTACGGCCCAGTACATCACTGGGGCCTAGCTCCCTGCCATCCAGGACCTCTATACCAGGCGGTGTCAGAGGAAGGCCCTAAAAATTGTCAAAGACTCCAGCCACCCAAGTCAGACTGTTCTCTCTGCCACCGCACGGCAAGCGGTACCGATGCATCAAGTCTGGAACCAACAACACATTGAACCAGCTTCTACCCCCAAGCTATAAGACCGCTGAATAGTTAGTTAAATAGCTACCCAGAATATCTGCCTTGACCCTTTCTGCACCAACACTTTTCACAATCCTGTTGCCTAGTAACTTTACCCCTACATACACATATATATACACACACACACACACACATATATATACACGTATCTACCTCAATTACCTCGTACCCTGCACATCGACCCCGTGTACATGGCCATGTTATCGTTACTTGTGTATTTATTCCTCGTCTTATTTCTACTATTTCAAAAAATAAAACACCTCTGCATTGACTGGAAAGTAAGTAAGCATTTCAGTGTTAGTATACACCTGTTATTTACGAAGCATGTGACAAATAAAATCCGATTTGAGACGGGGTCGAAGCAAACTACTGTACTAACGCTAAAGGAACATTTCCCCTCGGACCTGGGTTCATTAGGCACCAAACCGGAGGAAAGGTTTGAAAGAGAGGATATATGAACGCCACCATTTCCTCCCTAAGACACGACACACGAACATACAGGTGTGCATCTACCTGGTGATGATGGAGAAGTTGTTGGGGGCCTCTGTGAGGGCTTCCTGGAGCCCGGGGCCCTTAGCCAGGACCCTGGTGGGATCACAGCCTTCCTCCACCCCCACCTGGAAGGGACTCTTCGGGACCGGGGACTCATCGTACAGCACCTCCACAGCATGGACGCCTAGAGATCAGGGAGACGTCAACATGTCAATGAATCAATCATTTGGACATACCAACCACATACATCTATTCATAATACCCTTTTTACCTCAGCAGTCGTCACAGAGAGCTTAACAGCAGCTGTTTGTTTTTACCGTTTTCGAAGGGTGTGTACTCAACGCCGTAGGTCCCGTCTGCCTTGTCAGTGACGACACAGTCAGTCAGGGCGCCAGAGGGATTTCTGACCTGGGCTTTGATGTGGTCACCTCCCTTCTTAGTCAGAGACCTGGCGTCTACCGTGAAATCCGTAGTGGCCTCCCGGAACAACGCTGTAGAGTAGAGAAAAACATGTAATAGAATTATCAATTGTTAATTTTGTCGACTCATCCCAAAGTATCATGTTGTTGAGCTTCGTTGACTTTCTATTCCTCCCTAAAACTGTTCTCCAGCCAGGGGTGCTGCTCTGTGGCTCTCCAGCCAGGGGTGCTGCTCTGTGGCTCTCCAGCCAGGGGTGCTGCTCTGTGGCTCTCCAGCCAGGGGTGCTGCTCTGTGGCTCTCCAGCCAGGGGTGCTGCTCTGTGGCTCTCCAGCCAGGGGTGCTGCTCTGTGGCTCTCCAGCCAGGGGTGCTGCTCTGTGGCTCTCCAGCCAGGGGTGCTGCTCTGTGGCTCTCCAGCCAGGGGTGCTGCTCTGTGGCTCTCCAGCCAGGGGTGCTGCTCTGTGGCTCTCCAGCCAGGGGTGCTGCTCTGTGGCTCTCCAGCCAGGGGTGCTGCTCTGTGGCTCTCCAGCCAGGGGTGCTGCTCTGTGGCTGACCCAGTGCCTCTCAACATGCGTGTGTATTTGTGTGGGGGTTGAGACGGGGAGAAGACATTTCCGTTCATGGCTCTGTAAACGTGCCATCATCACCACCACCCTCCAACCGACTGCCCCTTTGAACTCTAATAGTTATTTTTCACTGAGGCAGCAGTGACGTGATGCTGCTCCGAGGTGAGGTAATGGTTTTAGACTTCACTGAAACTGCTACAGGGTTATTGAGAAGCTGAGTGCTTCTGGAGCGCTCCCATTTCTTCTTGACAAAGCAAAGTTAACACTACACAAAGGGCTCCTGGTGTCATGGTAACCGGGCAAACAAACAGCAGTTGTGGTCAATCAGAATAAAGATGAGTCACGTTCAGTTAGTATAGGTACTTGTCCCCACAGGTACAATAAAGTTGAACCTATCCTACTGATAACCAGGTTAAAGAGTGACAGAGTGAGGAGATAAGTGGCATGCTACAATACATTTACGTTTCAGGAGTTTGGTTCTCGGTTTACAGTGCCACTGCAAATCAATCAAAATGTATTTTATAAAGCCCTTTCTACGTCAACAGTCGTCACAAAGTGCTTTACAGAAACCCGGCATAGACCCCAAAGAGCAAGCCAAACGAACGGAAAAACGCAGAGCAACAGAGTATTCCGAAATAAACTCTTACCTCGTCCCTCCACTCCGGGCCCAAACACCTGGACTCTGGATGTGTCTACAGCAGGGTCTACCATCACCTTGGCAGGGAACCCGGGCGTCGCCGTGCCCCCGTACTTCAGTAGCAGGGTGTACATCCCAGCGGTCAGGGGTACGTAGGTCACTGTGTAGGTGCCATCTTTGTTGTCGATCACCTGAACGAACCAATGAATCAATCAATTATTGAAAACCTTTCATCGCCCGAAGGGAATTTGTACCTGTAACCACACTCGTTAGCATGTTGATGCATTACATTTACATTTTAGTCATTTAGCAGACGCTCTTATCCAGAGCGATTTACAGTTAGTGAGTGCATACATTATTATTTATTTCATACCCCCCCGTGGGAATCGAACCCACAACCCTGACGTAGAGAGTAAGTAGGGTTCCTACAGACATATGAACAGTTCAAATAAGCAATATATGTTTTTATAAAATTCAAAATTTGTTATCAGATCCCCGAGATTTCCACTCTCTCATCAGAGACAGTTTCAAGGACCCTCCAAAGAACACCTCCATTCGACCCCATGGTACACACCTCTGTCTTAGCCTTATTGTTGCCAGAGTCGGATGCAGCGTCCAGGGTGAGTTGACCCGGTCCAGCCCTGGAACAATCCACGTTCACCACACTGGTCTCTCCCACCTTGGCCCTCTTCAGCCCCGAGCCAGACGCCACCACCTGAAGGAAAGAGGTTAACAGTTGAGGTATTTAGTCATTTAGCAGATGCCCTCGTCCACAGTGACCTTTCAACTTCAGCAGTCATATTTTGACTTCCATTCATTAAAAGTAAAACCAATCTTCCAAAACATCTATCATGAAGATAGTAACAGTACTAGCAAGAATAAAGTGAAAACCAGTATAACACTAAAGTGTTAGATAGTTGTCACTATCCGGCTTCAAGGACAATTGTAGAATAATAGTGAAGACATCAAAACTATGAAATAACACATATGGAATCATGTAGTAACCAAAAAAAAGTGTTAAACAAATCAAAATATATTTTACATTTGAGATTCTTCAAAGTATCCACCCTTTGCCTTGACAGCTTTGCACACTCTTGGCATTCTCTCAACCAGCTTCATTAGGAATGCTTTTCCAACCGTCTTGAAGAAGTTCCCACATATGCTGAGCACTTGTTGGCTGCTTTTCCTTCCCTCTGCCGTCCGACTCATCCCAAACCATCTCAATTGGGTTGAGGTCGGGGATGTGGAGGCCAGGTCATCTGATGCAGCACTCCTCACTCCCTTCTGGTTAAATAGCCCTTACACAGCCTTGATGTGTGTTTTGGATCATTGTCCTGTTGAAAAACAGTACTGGTGTATCGCTGCAGAATGCTGTGGTCGCCATGCTGGTTAAGTGTGCCTTGAATAATTCTAAATAAATCACTGACAGTGTCACCAGCAACGCACCCCCACACCATCACACATGCGGAGATCATCCGTTCACCTACTCTGGTCCACAAGACACGGCGATTGGAACCAAAAACCGCAAATTTGGACTCATCAGACCAAAGGACAATTTCCACCGGTATAATGTCCATTGCTCGGTTTCTTGGCCCAAGCAAGTCTTTTCTTCTTATTGGTGTCCTTTAGTAGTGGTCTCTTTGCAGCAATTCGACCATGAAGGCCTGATTCACGCAGTCTCCTCTGAACAGTGACATTAACATTAAGTATTAGCAGACGCTCTTATCCAGTGAATACATTTTTTTTTTTTTATATACTGGCCCCCCGTGGGAAGATGTGTCTGTTACTTGAACTCTGTGAAGCATTTATTTGGGCTGCAATTTCTGAGGCTGGTAACTCTAATGAACTCATCCTCTGCAGCAGAGGTAACTCTGGGTCTTCCATTCCTGTGGCGGTCCTCATGAGAGCCAGTTTCATCATAGCGTTTGATGCTTTTTGCGACTGCACTTTAAGAAACATTTATATTCTTGAAATGTTCCGTATTGACTGACCTTCGTGTCTTAAAGTAACGATGGACAGTAGTTTCTCTTAGCCCTATTTGGTAAAAGACCAAGTCCATATTACGGCAAGAACAGCTCAAATAATCTATCTTCTGTAACCCTTGAATGAGTAGGTGTGTCCAAACTTTTGACTGATATATATAAATAAAACCAGTGTGCGAATGCATCTGCGCGCGTAGCCCTACCTTGGTGGGGTCAAAAGGGTAGTGGACGTCAGCGTGGAAGGGGGACCCTGGGATATGGGTCTCCTCAAACAGGATGTTAACCAGGTACTCTCCTGGCTCAGTGGGCAGGTAGGACACGCTGCACGTCCCGTCCCCGTTATCAGAGCACTCGATCTTGGCTTCGGTGGGCCCTTCCACAGTCAGGCCCAGACCGCCGGTCCCTGCTCCCTTAGTGTCGATGGTGAACTCAGCAGGGTTACCCACCAGACCTCCCTTCAGACCTGGACCAAACGCCTTCACCTGGAGGGAGGGACAGACAAATTGCCACTGCCAGTTATAAACAGGTGTCCAAACAGCCAACCAGTTATAAACAGTCAGTCCAAACAGCCAGTTACAGTGTCCGGACTGCCACTGAACAGAAGCAAAAAATGCTTTTTAAAATATAGGCCACAAGAACAAATCATGAAATAATACATTAGATTGTGGATCAATCAACCATGGAAATAATCTATCATGAAATAATCAATTAGATTGGGGATAAATCACTCGCTGTAGAACCTACACATCCAAGTATAATTGACCAATTTATGAAAGACAAGCGTTGTAATTTTGAATTCTGAAAAGTGAGTGTGGAAGAGGTGAAAAAAGTATTATTGTCTATCAACAATGACAAGCCACCGGGGTCTGACAACCTGGATGGAAAAATTACTGAGGATAATAGTGGCCATATTTTCAATTTAAGCCTGCTAGAAAAGTGTGTGCCTCCAGGCCTGGAGAGAAGCAAAAGTCATTCCGCTACCCAAGAATAGTAAAGCCCCCTTTACTGGCTCAAATAACCGACCAATCAGCCTGTTACCAACCCTTAGTCAACTTTTGGGAAAAAATGTATTTGACCAGATACAATGCTATTTTACAGTAACCAAATTCACAACAGACTTTCAGCACGCTTATAGGGAAGGACATTCAACAAGCACAGCACTTACACAAATGACGGATGATTGGCTGAGAGAAATTGATGATACAAAGATTCTGGGAGCTGTTTTGTTAGACTTCAGTGCGGCTTTTGACATGATCAAATCAAATCAAATTGTATTTGTCACATACACGTGTTTAGCAGATGTTATTGCGGGTGTAGCGAAATGCTTGTCGATCATAGTCTGCTGCTGGAAAAACGTATGTGTTATGGCTTTACACCCCCTGCTATATTGTGGATAAAGCGTTACCAGTCTAACAGAACACAGAGGGTGTTTAATGGAAGCCTCTCCAACATAATCCAGGTAGAATCAGGAATTCCCCAGGGCAGCTGTCTAGGCCCCTTACTTTTTTCAATCTTTACTAATGACCTGCCACTGGCTCTGAGTAAAGCCAGTGTATCTATGTATGTGGATGACTCAACACTATACACGTCAGCTACTACAGTGAGTGAAATGACTGTAACACTTAACAAAGAGCTGCAGTTAGTTTCAGAATGGGTGGCAAGGAATAAGTTAGTCCTAAATATTTCAAAAACTAAAAGCATTGTATTTGGGACAAATCATTCACTAAACCCTAAACCTCAACTAAATCTTGAAATGAATAATGTTGAAATTGAGCACGTTGAGGATACGAAACTGCTTGGAGTAACCCTGGATTGTAAACTGTCATGGTCAAAACATGTTGATGCAACAGTAGCTAAGATGGGGAGAAGTCTGTCTATAATAAAGCTCTGCTCTACATTCTTAACAGCACTATCAACAAGGCAGGTCCTACAGGTCCTAGTTTTGTCACACCTGGACTACTGTTCAGTCGTGTGGTCAGGTGCCACAAAGAGGGACTTGGGAGAATTACAACTGGCCCAGAACAGGGCAGCACGGCTGGCCCTTAAATGTACACGTAGAGCTAAAATTAATAATATGTAGGTCAAATCTCTCATGGCTCAAAGTAGAGGACAGAGGTATTGACATAATGAATGCACCGAGCTGTCTGTTTAAACTACTAGCACACAGCTCAGACACCCATGCACACCCCACAAGACATGCCACCAGAGGTCTCTTCACAGTCCCCAAGTCCAGAACAGACTATGGGAGGCGCACAGTACTACATAGAGCCATGACTACATGGAACTCTATTCCACATCAGGTAACTGATGCAAGCAGTAGAATCAGATTATTTTTTTAAACAGATAAAAATACACCTTATGGAACAGCGGGGACTGTGAAGAGACACACACACAGGTACAAACACACACACACACACACACACCTGTCCTGAGGGCACACACTTCAATGTTTTAAATGTTTATTATAATGTATATTACTGCCTTAATTTTTGCTAGACCCCAGGAAGAGTAGCTGCCGCCTTGGCAGCAGCTGGTGATTCATAATACATACAAAATACAAATCAATCATGAAAATAATCTATCATGAAATCCATTAGATTGGGGATCAATCAACAATGAAAATATCTATCATGAAACTAAAAGGTTATTACATTGTACATCTGAGCGCATGCCTGTACCTTGCTGGGGTCTGGAGGCAGTGTGGCCTCCACAGGGAAGGGGCTGCCCGGGATAGGTTGTCCATCGTAGATCACCTCCACAGCATAGAGGCCTTCCTCCTTGGGGATGTATTTCACCCTGCTGTTCTCTGGTCTCTTCCCAGGCTGAGCCTCCAACACACAAGGGACAAGCTTACCGCTAGGGCTGCTGATCCTCACCTCCAGTTTACCCTGGCCTCCCGCCCCCTTGGTGCCCACCACAAACTCCTGGTCCTGCCCCACCTCCACTCCTGGAGAAAAAACAAGGGTTTCAGCACATAGCCTTTCTAAAGACCAGTCCTAAAGAGCAATGCACTATAGCAATCATATGAAGGCACAATTTTCCACCTCCACTTCTGGAAGGGAAGGGGTTAATGAAATAACTTTTAGTGAAATGGCGGGGCAAACCATCATAGCGCCAGAGAGGCATGCTGGGAAGCTTTCAACTGATAAAGGAGGAAGCTACGGTACTGCTAGTAAGAGGTAACGCTACTTACTGCCATCCAGGTTGTTGACCTGGACCTTGCTGGGGTCCAGCGGAGCAGCCACTCCCACAGCAAAGGGACTCTTGGGAATCACATCTCCGCCGAACGTTACGATGATTACCATCTCTCCCTAGAGACACACAGAGACAGACAGACACACACACACACACAGAGAGACACACACACAGAGAGACACACACACAGAGAGACACACACACAGAGAGACACACACACAGAGAGACACACACACAGAGACACACACACACAGAGAGACACACACACAGAGAGAGACACACACACACACAGACAGAGAGACACACACACAGAGAGACACACACACAGAGAGACACACACACAGAGAGACACACACACACAGAGAGACACACACACAGAGAGACACACACACAGAGAGACACACACACAGAGAGACACACACACAGAGAGACACACATACAGACACACACACACACAGACACACACACACACACACACACAGAGAGACACACACACACACACAGAGAGACAGAGAGAGACACACACACACACAGAGAGACAGAGAGAGACACACACAGAGAGACACACACACAGAGAGACACACACACAGAGAGACACACACACAGAGAGACACACACACAGAGAGACACACACACAGAGAGACACACACACAGAGAGACACACACACAGAGAGACACACACACACAGAGACACACACACAGAGACACACAGAGACACACACAGAGGAAGCGAGAGAGAGATGAGGGAAAGAGAAAGATGTTCATTGATCCTTTACCTATACTGGTGATCACACAGATTAAGAACATCTTGTAAAAAGAGACCTGTCCCTAGACAGGAAACCATAGAGTACCACAGTATGAGCCATTATACCCATAAAACCTAGCGGTCAAACTGGGAAATGGTTCCAATCGTTTTTCCACAATTCATTTTTCCCATAGGGGATTTTAGAAACACTTAAAATAAGGGCTGTGTTTCATGAAGGCTTACCCTGGCGTGACGTTTTGATAACCATGTAAATCTCTCTAGGACAAGGTGACTTTTATCAATATATTCGCCTGTATTTACCCGCAAAAAATGAAACGCTAATTATCTGCTAATGTGGCTATCATAAAGAACTACAAATACCATGATGATCTGGAAGAGACTGCCGAATCGAGGCAAAGGTAAGAATATCTGGATTAACGATCTAATGTTATCCAACTGTAGTAATGAATAAATTGGCTACATTTCTTTAAATGGACAATTCTGTGAACTGTTTAAAATTGACACAATACTTGTTTAGCAAAGGTTTCAGCTAGAGATGATGTGCAGGAGCTTGCAGGGATTTGTAGTTTTGCAAGATGTCTACTTTGATGCTAATTAGCATTTTCAAAACAGAGTGAATAGAGCCGACTATATTGATTAAAGTCACCTTAGCCAGAGAGATTTACATGGTTATCAAAACGTCACGCCAGGGTAAGCCTACACGAAACAGCCCTTATTTTAAGTGTTCTTCAATGGGAAAAATGAATGGTGGAAAAACGATTGGAACCATTTCCTTGTTTGACAGCTAGGTTTTATGGGTATTATGACACCTCCACTGTGGAGCTCTATCTAGCAGGAAGAACCACTAAATAAGGGACGGCCATTTTAACATGCACAATAAGGTTGACAGAGAGATGGTTCAAATACTATTTGAAATCATTTAAAATACTTTATATATACTTGATTGCGCTTGCCTGGCTTAATTGACCAACAGAACACTCTCAAAACTGCAATCTGGCAAACCAGACAGGCTAGAGCAAACTCTCAAAGTATATGAAAGATTTTAAATAGTATTTGAACCCATGTCTGGTGCCTTGACTTACCTTTTGCATTGGAGCATACTTGACGGTGTGTGAGTAGTCATAATTACCTGTTGTATTGGAGTATACTTGACGGTGTGTGAGTAGTCGTAATTACCTGTTGTATTGGAGTATACTTGACGGTGTGTGAGTAGTCATAATTACCTGTTGTATTGGAGTATACTTGACGGTGTGCGAGTAGTCATAATTACCTGTTGTATTGGAGCATACTTGACGGTGTGTGAGTAGTCGTAATTACCTGTTGTATTGGAGCATACTTGACGGTGTGTGAGTAGTCGTAATTACCTGTTGTATTGGAGTATACTTGACAGTATGCGAGTAGTCATAATTACCTGTTGTATTGGAGTATACTTGACGGTGTGTGAGTAGTCATAATTACCTGTTGTATTGGAGTATACTTGACGGTGTGTGAGTAGTCATAATTACCTGTTGTATTGGAGCATACTTGACGGTGTGTGAGTAGTCATAATTACCTGTTGTATTGGAGTATACTTGACGGTGTGCGAGTAGTCGTAGTTGTCGATGATGTCAAAGTCTTGGACGGCGTCTCCCTTGCCGGTCCCAGTGAACTGGACGTCCACGGGGGCCTTCCCTGCTCCTTTAGTGTGCACTGTGAAATGGGTCGGCTTGCCACACTCCACTCCTAAAGGAGCCACTCCTGGACCCTCGGCCTTGACCTTGGAGGCATCATGGGAAGGTTCCACTTTGACCCTGAATGGGCTGACGGGGATCTCCTACAAATAGAAAAACGGTATTAACAAATCGCATTCACGCAGGATTAAATCATTTACTTAGACACATTACGTAAAACACATCACAATTCAAAACACCAAAGATAAGTGGCAGGGGTGGCAGGTAGCTTAGTGGTTAAGAGCGTAGTGATAGTAACCGAAAGGTCGCTTGTTCTAATCCCCGAGCCGACTAGGTGAAAAATCTGTCGATGTGCCCTTGAGCAAGGCACTTAACCCTAATTGCTCCTGTAAGTCGCTCTGGATAAGAGCGTCTGTTAAATGCCTAAAATGTAAATGTAAATGTATAAGTGAATGGGCTTTTATGCTCCACATTATTAAGGGCCGGTTTCCTAGAACCACATTAAGCCTAGAATCTCCAATCCGCTTTAGTCCAGGACTAGTCTCAAGCTGGGTCCTAAGAGTGATGCCCTAAAAAGCCAAACGGGAACTAAGCATGACTGACTGACTGACTGACTGACTGACTGACTGACTGACTGACTGACTGACTGACTGACTGACTGACTGACTGACTGACTGACTGACTGACTGACTGACTGACTGACTGACTGACTGACTGACTGACTGTCTGTCTGTCTGTCTGTCTGTCTGTCTGTCTGTCTGTCTGTCTGTCTGTCTGTCGGTCTGTCTGTCTGTCTGTCTGTCTGTCTGTCTGTCTGTCTGTCTGTCTGTCTGTCTGTCTGTCTGTCTGTCTGTCTGTCTGTCTGTCTGTCTGTCTGTCTGTCTGTCTGTCTGTCTGTCTGTCTGTCTGTCTGTCTGTCTGTCTGTCTGTCTGTCTGTCTGTCTGTTCTGTCTGTCTGTCTGTCTTCTGTCTGTCTGTCTGTCTGTCTGTCTGTTGTCTTGTCTGTCTGTCTGTCTGTCTGTCTGTGTCTGTCTGTCTGTCTGTCTGTCTGTCGTCTGTCTGTCTGTCTGTCTGTCTGTTGTCTGTCTGTCTGTCTGTCGGTCTGTCTGTCTGTCTGTCTTCTGTCTGTCTGTCTGTCTGGTCTGTCTGTCTGTCTGTCTGTCTGTCTGTCTGTCTGTCTGTCTGTCTGTCTGTTGTCTGTCTGTCTGTCTGTCTGTCTGTCTGTCTGTCTGTCTGTCTGTGTCCATCAGTCACCCACCTGGTCAGTGAAGAGGACCTTGATGGTGAGTCGTCCTGCTCCAGGAGGGATGTATTTCACAGTGATGGTGTCGTTGGCATTAGGGATGATGTCAAAGTCAACGTCCTCCTCCTTATCACTGATTACATTGGCATCACACTTGATCCCCACACTCACGTCCCCTGGAACACACAGAGATATATATATATATACACACATACATACAGTGAGGGAAAAAAGTATTTGATCACCTGCTGATTTTGTACGTTTGCCCACTGACAAAGAAATGATCAGTCTATAATTTTAATGGTAGGTTTATTTGAATAGTGAGAGACAGAATAACAACAAAAAAATCCAGAAAAACACATGTCAAAAATGTTATAAATTCATTTGCATTTTAAATGAGGGAAATTAGTATTTGACCCCCTCTCAATCAGAAAGATTTCTGGCTCCCAGGTGTCTTTTATACAGGTAACGAGCTGAGATTAGGACAACTCTTAAAGGGTGGGTTGAATGAAGAGAAAACAATGCATTAAAACGACATGTATCATTCTTGTTCAGTTCATATCTATATTGAGGTTTTTCTTTCATGATTTGTATCTGGTGTTGGTGGGTAGCCTCAGCTACATGGTCCTGTGTGGTCCTGTGTGTGTGTGTGTACGTGTGTGTGTGTGTGTGTGTGTACGTGTGTGTGTGTGTACCTGTGTGTGTGTGTGTGTGTGTGTACCTGTGTGTGTGTTCCTGTGTGTGTGTGTACCTGTGTGTGTGTGTACCTGTGTGTGTGTTCCTGTGTGTGTGTGTACCTGTGTGTGTGTTCCTGTGTGTGTGTGTACCTGTGTGTGTGTGTGTTCCTGTGTGTGTGTTCATGTGTGTGTGTGTGTGTGTGGTACCTGTGTGTGTGTGTGTGTTCCTGTGTGTGTGTGTACCTGTGTGTGTGTTCGTGTGTACCTGTGTGTGTGTGTGTGTGTGTGTGTTGTGTGTGTGTGTGTGTGTGTGTGTGTGTGTGTGTGTGTGTTACCTTCCCCTGCCTCTGTGCAGTCCACAGTGAAGTGTGTGGGTTCATTGGCCTTCAGTCCCGTCCTCTCTACTCCTGGACCGAACACCTTGACCTTGTGAGGATGGCTGCCCTTCCCAACATTCACCTGCACAAGACAAACATCAGTTTATTCTTTATAAGGTCCAATAGAAATTCCCATTCTGCTTTATCCCAACCCCTCTGAAAGACACTGAACATGCATACACACACACACACACACACACACACACACACACTGGTTGGAGAGCACAAAACAACAGTTAAAAATAACAAAAACAACAGTTTTAGTTGAAGAGAACTGACAGTGACAATAATGTTTAGGACCGTCTAGGAAACAGGAACAGGTGAAGGTTACAGCCTGCATACTACAACAAAACAATGTTAAATACAATTGCCAACAAGGGTTGGGCGACGTCTTGAATGACACATCGTCCGAAAATCGTTTATATACGATTGTATCATCTACCTAAAATCTGTGTCCAGATTTCAGTTAGGCTACACGCGTTGCGCACGGAGGGGGTCAATTGGAGGAAAGAAAGTCATATGAAGAACACATTGGTTATACCAGAACTCTGATTTACGGCATAATGTCATTCTTTATGATTTAAATTGATACAAAAGCCACAAACAATCTCATTAAATCACTGTTCAAAACAAAGTGTTAGGCCCTAGTTATTTTTTATCTAGTCTAGACTGCAGAATGATTTTCAAATATGTAGGCCTTTGTTTCTCTTGTCCATAAAATTACTCAGATATCATTTATATTAGCCTACCTTTCCAAAACTAATATATATTATAGACTATTGTTTTATTCTACCGTAATCATTTACTCTCCGACAGTTTCAGACTCTAAAAAAAAAAAAAAGTGACGGGATTTCACTTAGTAACTATAGTATAACCGGCCTTAGCTAAATCTGGAGGAAAAACAACAACGTGCTTTTCTTAGTGGCAAAGAAAAGCACGTCTTCGCCTGTTTGGCAGTTCTTCGGTTTCAGGCCGAATGATGAAGGTGAGCCAGCAGACCAGACAAGATTATCAGAGAAAAGGATGGACTGACTACAAACCGTCGCCATCATTTTCATCATCCTGCTGAGTTCGCTACTCTGTGGCAGAAAAGTTCGCTACTCTGTGGCAGAAAAGTTCGCTACTCTGAGGCAGAAAAGTTCGCTACTCTGGGGCAGAAAAGGGTGAACATGCTGCTGTTCTTTGCCAGAAACATTGAGGTAGGCCTGAGACACGGTAAAACAACAACGACACCAAATGAAATGGTTCCTCATTGCACTTTTTTTTTTAATTGAATTTTAAAATGTAGCCTAAATTCAAATCCAAATGCATCTTATTCTAAAGCGATGGCCTACAGGATAGGCTCAAATATTCTGTTAAACCTTAAAAATACTTATCTGCACTGTTTTTTTTGTTTTGTTGTTGTTGCACTAATTTATTTTCTATTCGTTTTTAGCCTAAGCCAATGTTCATTCGTTTAAGACTAATAAATAATAATTTGTTTTATCTGATTGTATATTTCAGATTTTTACAGTTCGATAGGTAAAAGGCATAGCCTGAGGACAACAGGCCTATTCCAATGTTCATTCAAGTGTTAGAAAGAATGTCATGGGCTAAATAATCATTTATTTTATCTGATTGTTGTTGACTGTTATATACAGTAAATCCACAATGTGTAAGTCTGTTTAAACGTCCTATCCGATTAGTCTACCAGTATCTTGCAATAGTTTGTTCTCTCTCATTATTACTAAGTTTTTTTATTCAGGCTATTCACAACTTTCAGAGAAAAAGGAAAAGGTGTCCGCTGCAAAAGGCCCATGATCCTCTAGCACTGGAGAGGAGAAGGAAAGATCAAATCAGCCCCATCTGACCTCTAGCTCTGGTGCTCTCCGGTCTGTCTAGAATCTACCTTGTTCTCTTGCGTTATGTTAATAGTCTACCATCATATGTATTGAACATTTAGGCTACGGCCAATAGGGAGGAGGCCATTTGGCACGTCCTCACGGCGCTGTGCTGTTTAGCATTGCAGACTGCAGCAGTACAGTCAAGTAAAAAAAAATGCTAATCCATCGTTTGTGACATCACGATGTGGTCACTGTCGACGATGGCTGTCAAAACATCATCGATCAACGACGCAATCGTAAAAAATCGCCCAACCCCCATTGCCAACTTCACTGGAATATAATAATAATAATAATAATAATAATATGCCATTTAGCAGACGCTTTTATCCAAAGGGACTTACAGTCATGCGTGCATACATTTTTTGTGTATGGGTGGTCCCGGGGATCGAACCCACTACCTTGGCGTTACAAGCGCAGTCAGTAGATGGAAACTAAATGGAAACTAAACAGCAGATGGAAACTAAACAGCAGATGGAAACTAAATGGAAACTAAATAGCAGATGGGAACTAAACAGCAGATGGAAAGTGTGATTTGTAATATGGAGGCTGTGTGTTGTAAACCCTGGCAGGTTGGATGATATATGATGAAAACAGGATATCAACCTAATAAACACAAACAAGTTTTAAAAAGATCAGTCTGAATTTATTTGGTATGAATGGACAGTAGTTGAAGTGGAATGAAATGCTAATATGTTTGAAATAGTGAAATGAATGAACAGTAATGTGTAACAGTAGTTATAATACATGCTGCTGTCCTTTCCTAACAATGTCATATACACTTTTGGTATTAGTAGCAGAGCATAGAAATGTCTTTCAAATGAAGATGTCTTTCAGAAATGTAGTTGACCCGGTTTAAGTGCACAGTAGCTTCAGATTGAGTCAGACAGATTGACAGCAGATTGAGTCAGACAGACTGACAGCAGATTGAGTCAGACAGATTGACAGCAGATTGAGTCAGACAGATTGAGTCAGTCAGATTGAGTCATGCTGAGACTACTAGATATACTGACTGAAAGATTTACATAATAACATTTTTCTGAATGAGGAAATCAACATTGCTTTTGTAAAATGTCTCAGTGGATAGAAAGACATATTAAACTAGGCGACAGACATGGACGTTGATGTGGCAACAGACATGGACGTTGACGTGGCAACAGACATGGACGTTGATGTGGCAACAGACATGTATAAGTGAGGTGAAAGAAATCAGGTGACTAAAACACAAAATACATTGGTGAATGCTTGTTAAGACATTAGCACGCGCTTATGTTAATTTGATTAAATAGTTACACAGAAATAGAAAACATGTTTAGTAACATTAATAATAAATCACAGAATATATTGTAGTGTAAAAGTATAGAAACATAGATAAATCAAGTAATCGTGTTTGATCATTGTAAGAAAATTTCCCTGAAGAAATGTCCCTGAAAAAAAAAAAGATTATTCTAAATAAACAGTTAACATTGACCAATGTTGATCCTCCTTCACCAAACGCACCCAATATTACTCAGAGGCTTTACATCTCTGTGGTGTTACTGGCCAAAGACGGTACAGCGTTCCTCAGTGTATGTGGTTATCAGAATGAGAGGCCTCTTAGGTTTACGGTAAGTAGTGTTAGGTTTACGGTAAGTAGTGTTAGGTTTACGGTAAGTAGTGTTCCCCTGAGTGACATTGGTCAGATTAGCTTCAGTACTCTCCAAGGTGGTCATGGTTAGATTACAGTCCATAGCGGTTGGGGTACGTTTACGGTAACTAGTATTCTCCTGGGTGGTTGTGGGTACGTAACAGTCCTCCTCCCCCCTTGGTACACCAGACAGCGGTTGTCTTAGTGTTAGTTTAAGGTTATTATTACCCTTCAGAGTGGTTACGTTTTGGTCAGGGACGTTGTACTGCGGTGGTCTTACCCTGAAAGGACTGTTGGGCACACTGACTCCTGCCCAGGTGATGGCCACTGTGTGTTTGACCGCGGTAATGGGGGTGTAGGAACAGACGTAGACACCGTCTCCAGTCTTCTTCACCTTCACGTCCAGGGGACCTCCCTCTGCACTCTGTGGGTTAGAGACAACATAGTTACCACTAGCCTGTGTGTGTGTGTGTGTGTGTGTGTGTGTGTGTGTGGGGTTGTCTTACCTGGGCAGAGATCTTTAGGGGGCCCGTCCCAGCATCCTTAGCGTTGACGGTGAATTCTGCCGGTTTGTTGATGACACAGCCACTCTTCTCCAGGCCTGGACCGTAGGCCTTCACCTGAAACATAATTACAACATCACACCTTCACAGATGCACTACTGTAGCAGCAGCTACTAACAGTAACACTACTGGTGTCCCCCAGGGCTCAGTACTAGGTCCTCTTTAATGTCTCACTACTGGTGTCCCCCAGGGCTCAGTACTAGGTCCTCTTTAATGTCTCACTACTGGTGTCCCCCAGGGCTCAGTACTAGGTCCTCTTTAATGTCTCACTACTGGTGTCCCCCAGGGCTCAGTACTAGGTCCTCTTTAATGTCTCACTACTGGTGTCCCCCAGGGCTCAGTACTAGGTCCTCTTTAATGTCTCACTACTGGTGTCCCCCAGGGCTCAGTACTAGGTCCTCTTTAATGTCTCACTACTGGTGTCCCCCAGGGCTCAGTACTAGGTCCTCTTTAATGTCTCACTACTGGTGTCCCCAAGGGCTCAGTACTAGGTCCTCTTTAATGTCTCACTACTGGTGTCCCCCAGGGCTCAGTACTAGGTCCTCTTTAATGTCTCACTACTTGTGTCCCCCAGGGCTCAGTACTAGGTCCTCTTTAATGTCTCACTACTGGTGTCCCCCAGGGCTCAGTACTAGGTCCTCTTTAATGTCTCACTACTGGTGTCCCCCAGGGCTCAGTACTAGGTCCTCTTTAATGTCTCACTACTGGTGTCCCCCAGGGCTCAGTACTAGGTCCTCTTTAATGTCTCACTACTGGTGTCTCCCAGGGCTCAGTACTAGGTCCTCTTTAATGTCTCACTACTGGTGTCCCCCAGGGCTCAGTACTAGGTCCTCTTTAATGTCTCACTACTGGTGTCCCCCAGGACTCAGTACTAGGTCCTCTTTAATGTCTCACTACTGGTGTCCCCGAGGGCTCAGTACTAGGTCCTCTTTAATGTCTCACTACTGGTGTCCCCCAGGACTCAGTACTAGGTCCTCTTTAATGTCTCACTACTGGTGTCCCCCAGGGCTCAGTACTAGGTCCTCTTTAATGTCTCACTACTGGTGTCCCCAAGGGCTCAGTACTAGGTTCTCTTTAATGTCTCACTACTGGTGTCCCCCAGGGCTCAGTACTAGGTCCTCTTTAATGTCTCACTACTGGTGTCCCCCAGGACTCAGTACTAGGTCCTCTTTAATGTCTCACTACTGGTGTCCCCCAGGGCACAGTACTAGGTTCTCTTTAATGTCTCACTACTGGTGTCCCACAGGGCTCAGTACTAGGTCCTCTTTAATGTCTCACTACTTGTGTCCCCAAGGGCTCAGTACTAGGTCCTCTTTGATGTCTCACTACTGGTCTCACTACGGAGACAGGAAACAGGAAGCGTGACATCACTCACCAAGCTGGGGTTGCTGTCCTGGTTGTCAGGGACGACGTAGGCCATGAAGGGACTGTCCTCTATATCCTCGTCGTCACACATCACGTGGACAGCGTACTCCCCTGCCTCCGACGGCCAGTACTTCACATCACATGAACCATCATTCTGGTCCTCACACTCGATCTTGGCCTGGGACGGGCCCTCGATGGCAAAGCCTGGTAGAGGGAGGGTGGAATAGCTATTAGCTCTATAACAAAGCATGTTGGTCTGAACGTTGCATGTGTATCACTGAAAGCTTTGTTAAAATATATTTTGTTGGGAGCAGCAGCAAGCATTGAGGGGATACACAACATCTTTCTTTATGAGTTTTAAAAATCAACCAATTTCCATGCATTTGCATTAGGCCTACAGCCCAAAAGCATAAGCATACACAACCTTCACTCAAAACCAATATCTTGAACAGTCATTCAGAACCTCACCTAGAACTCCGACGTCAGTGCCGATGGATTCCGCCACAAAGTCAGCCGATTTCCCCACCATGCCTCCCTCCAGACCTGGCCCCCAGGCCCTGATCTTCTGGGGGCCCGCCTCCGGACCCACCCCCACCTCAAACGGACTGGGACAGAGACACAGGATCGTTACACATATGTTCCAAAGAGTTGGGGGGGGGGGGAATATTTCCCCACAGAGATTGGTCTGTTGGATCAAATCCTGATGGGATGCTGGGCCATTATGCTCTGCAGAGCAGACGTTGAAACCCATAATAATTTCTGTAGTATCTACAGTGAGGGGAAAAAAAGTATTTGATCCCCTGCTGATTTTGTACGTTTGCCCACTGACAAAGAAATGATCATTCTATAATTTTAATGGTAGGTTTATTTGAACAGTGAGAGACCGAATAACATGTCAAAAATGTTATAAATTGATTTGCATTTTAATGAGGGAAATAAGTATTTGACCCCCTCTCAATCAGAAAGATTTCTGGCTCCCAGGTGTCTTTTATACAGGTAACGAGCTGAGATTAGGAGCACACTCTTAAAGCGAGTGCTCCTAATCTCAGCTTGTTACCTGTATAAAAGACACCTGTCCACAGAAGCAATCAATCAATCAGATTCCAAACTCTCCACCATGGCCAAGACCAAAGAGCTCTCCAAGGATGTCAGGGACAAGATTGTAGATCTACACAAGGCTGGAATGGGCTACAAGACCATCGCCAAGCAGCTTGGTGAGAAGGTGACAGCAGTTGGTGCGATTATTCGCAAATGGAAGAAACACAAAAGTACTGTCAATCTCCCTCGGCCTGGGGCTCCATGCAAGATCTCACCTCGTGGAGTTGCAATGATCATGAGAACGGTGAGGAATCAGCCCAGAACTACACGGGAGGATCTTGTCAATGATCTCAAGGCAGCTGGGACCATAGTCACCAAGAAAACAATTGGTAACACACTACGCCGTGAAGGACTGAAATCCTGCAGTGCCCGCAAGGTCCCCCTGCTCAAGAAACACATATACAGGCCCGTCTGAAGTTTGCCAATGAATATCTGAATGATTCAGAGGAGAACTGGGTGAAAGTGTTGTGGTCAGATGAGACCAAAATCGAGCTCTTTGGCATCAACTCAAGTTGCTGTGTTTGGAGGAGGAGGAATTCTGCCTATGACCCCAAGAACACCATCCCCACCGTCAAACATGGAGGTGGAAACATTATGCTTTGGGGGTGTTTTTCTGCTAAGGGGACAGGACAACTTCACCGCATCAAAGGGACGATGGACGGGGCCATGTACCATCAAATCTTGGGTGAGAACCTCCTTCCCTCAGCCAGGGCATTGAAAATGGGTCGTGGATGGGTATTCCAGCATGACAATGACCCAAAACACACAGCCAAGGCAACAAAGGAGTGGCTCAAGAAGAAGCACATTAAGGTCCTGGTCCTTAATCCCATAGAACATTTGTGGAGGGAGCTGAAGGTTCGAGTTTCCAAACGTCAGCCTCGAAACCTTAATGACCTGGAGAAGATCTGCAAAGAGGAGTGGAACAAAATCCCTCCTGAGATTTGTGCAAACCTGGTGGCCAACTACAAGAAACATCTGACCTCTGTGATTGCCAACAAGGGTTTTGCCACCAAGTACTAGGTCATGTTTTGCAGAGGGGTCAAATACTTATTTCCCTCTTTAAAATGCAAATCAATTTATAACATTTTTGACATGCGTTTTTCTGGATTTTTGTTGTTGTTATTCTGTCTCTCACTGTTCAAATAAACCTACCATTAAAATTATAGACTGATCATGTTTTTGTCAGTGGGCAAACGTACAAAATCAGCAGGGGATCAAATCCTTTTTTCCCTGTAATTGCCATTTGCTTTATGCCCCTTTGCCTTACCAGCGCTACTGTGTAAAGTGACGTGGTGCCTTTCTGCAGGGGAAACAGGAGCTGATTGTTTTCATAACATGGCCTTTAAAAAGGTCTGTGGTTAGTGGGAGGGGTAGAGAGCCATTAAGGTCAGTGAAGCTGGGAGGGGTAGAGAGCCATTAAGGTCAGTGGAGCTGGGAGCTGAGGGCTCCGTAGCATGATGTCACCTGAGCGCCTGTTCAATGCTAAGTAAGACCATTGCACAGTCAGACCCCCCCCCCCCCCCCCCCCCCGTCCGTCTGTCTGGGAGGTAATACCAGCTAATCAGCCTTCCAGGCATGGTATTACCGTAACCGAACAGACCATTCCAGAACATGGCTTTAAAGGGCCTGTGGTTTGGGCCGTTAAAAGGAACATTTCACTCAAAAACTATCTTCTGGTATTTGTTTCACTAGTCCACTGTTGATACAGTCCCAAAAATGTTTTGCGAGTCCGCAAATGAAGTTTTCAAGATGTAGAACTTTCGAAATGCATAAATACAGTCAGTATGATGCATTTTGCATCATACTGGCTGTATTTCTGCCCGAGTTTCTGATCAAGAGCTCATGAAAACATTAAATAACCCCGGGAATCGATAAAACATCTCTCAGAGATGCCCAGAAACGATATAACATTTAAAAAACAATGGGTGAATCTTTCCATTAAAGGAGACATTTCAACCTGGTCCTGAGAGCACATGAGGTCAGCTGGGAGCCTGTTCAGTGCTTAGTAACACCATGGTAACAGCATGGGGGTAATTCCAGTTGTCCTTCTAAGGCCTAGCACTAGCAGGCCACTTTCTTAACCCCATCTTCCAGGCTGAGTATTAGCATTACCAGAGCCCTCTCTCCCAAGAGCGTTTTAAGACGCGTAAATCCAGCCCCCATTGTAGTAAACCCTGATGAAGATACGGAAAATGCCTTAATGCTTAATAAAATGTTAACAGAGGTTAACTCCCCTCACAGCGAGCTGTGACAGCTAGTTAAATTATTTTCACAGTTACAGAATATCATTACTGTAAAACGTAAGCAGGTTTCCGTCTGTCAGTGTGGCATAAAAATGACTACATTTCCTAATGCTGAAACCAGCTCTCACTCTCACACACAGTCATCCAGAAACCAAACAAATACAGCTAAATAAAGAGAATCATTTCCAGGGTTGCTTGTTAAGTTAATCTGTCTGCGACCAGAGTACATAGCCTAGCCCTGATGAAATGTGAGGAGACATTTAAAATGTTTCACACAGTGCCATGTTAGGCACTAAGGTAGCTAACACTGCAATGCTAACACTGCAATGCTAACACACTGGCTGCCTGTCTGCTGCATGTGTCCCCAGGGACCTGCCATTCACTGCTACCACCACATCAGACCACCCCACACCAGGTCAGACCACCCCACACCAGCACACCCAGGCCAGACCTCACCTCCTGAGTCCCTAGCTACCACGTCCTACCTCACCTCCTGAGTCCCTAGCTACCACGTCCTACCTCACCTCCTGAGTCCCTAGCTACCACGTCCTACCTCACCTCCTGATTCCCTAGCTACCACGTCCTACCTCACCTCCTGATTCCCTAGCTACCACGTCCTACCTCACCTCCTGAGTCCCTAGCTACCACGTCCTACCTCACCTCCTGAGTCCCTAGCTACCACGTCCTACCTCACCTCCTGAGTCCCTAGCTACCACCACAGTGAGTTCTTACCACTGTGTAGAGACCGAGCAATCAGCCATGGATCTGCCAAGCCCCTCCTACCACACACATACACAAACACTGCTCTAGTCTTCATATATGACCCAAAGGAACCAACTGACTTGACCTGAACATTTCAGGTGACAGTCTAGCAGACTTTGTTTTTGATTACCTACTTTAATTTCCCAACCTTTAACAATCAAAAAAAGCATAGAGAAAGAAACATTGATGTCCAGTATGTAAAGGACTCACCTCTTAGGGATGTGCTGTCCTCCCCAGGTGATGGTGACGGTGTACTTCCCAGGGGTGTGAGGGTAATAGTCATACACCCCTTCACCTGACTCCTTCTGTTTCACTGGCTCCTCCATACCTTCTACATGGAGAGGAAAGGAGAAGAGAGGAGAAAGAGAGAGCGGGAGAGGAGAGGAGAGGAGAGGAGAGGGAGGAGAGGACGAGGAGAGGAGAGGGAGAGGAATGTAGGAGAGAGGAGAGGATTTGAGGAAGGAAGAGAGGAGAGGAGAAGGAGAGGAGGAGGAGAGGAGAGGGAGAGGAGAGGAGAGGAGAGGAGAGGAGTAGGGAGAGAGAGAGGGAGAGGGAGGAGAGGAGAGGAGAGGAGAGGAAAGGAGAGACGAGGAGGAGGAGAGGAGAGGAGAGAGAGGAGAGGAGAGGAGCAGGAGAGGAGAGAGGAGAGGAAGAGTAGGAGGAGGGAGGAGAGGAAGAGGAGGATAGGAGAGGAGAGAGGAGAGGAGAGGAGAGGGAGGAGGAGATGCGAGCAGGAGAGCGAGAGGAAAGAGGAAGAGGAGAGGAGAGGAGAGGAGAGGAGAGGAGAGGAGAGGATAGAGAGGAGAGGAGAGGAGGGAGAGGAGAGGGAGGAGGGGCCCCCCCCCCGAGCAAGAGGAGAGGAGAGGAGAGGAGAGGAGAGGAGAGGAGAGGGAGGAGAGGAGGAGAGGAGAGGAGAGGGAGGAGAGGAGAGGAGGAGGAGAGGAGAGGAGAGGAGAGGAGAGGAGAGGAGAGGGAGAGGAGGAAATGAGAGGAGAAGAGATCATTATTATTTACCTTTCTGTCAACAGTGAAGTCATATTTTAACACTAAAGTCTCTTTTACAAATGAGCACTGCACAATACATCAACAAGCAAGTACAGACAAACAATACATATTAAGATACAAAACACAGTCAATTAAAACAAACATTCTTCATAATAAAAATACTCTGTCAACTGTCTGAATTGCCCTTGGGACTTCAAAGCATCCAATCAAAAACATATTTGGGAGATTATTGCAAACATAGGGTGCAAGAAAATTAAAGGCCGATTTATCACCAAAGGATTCTCCCAGAGTTAACCGACCCTGTGAACGGGTTTGGTAACTAGTCATTTTAAATCTTAACAGTGACGTTAGGTAAGTCGGAAGCTTACGGAGCAGGGCTTTTTGATCACCATTACTTTAAAGAGGTCCAGACAACCCTTTGGTAAAGGACACAGTGATGACTAATAGAACTGTCTCCTGTGATAAAACGAAGGGCGCTGTGATAAAACGGCATCCAGGTGTTTAAGAGTAGTGGCAGATGCACTTTGATAAATAGTACCACCACTCTAGAAGAGGTAGAAAGGCTGATAAATAGTATCACCACTCTAGAAGAGGTAGAAAGGCTGATAAATAGTATCACCACTCTAGAAGCGGTAGAAAGGCTGACTGCACAATCTGCTTCCTGCTGACTAGAGGCAAGATCTGTTTCTATAAAAACAATATCTTAGCTTCTTAACAAGCTCATTTTATGGTTTTTAAACGCTATATATATATATATATATATCTATCTATCATTGTCAATCCAAATACCAAGGTATTTGTACGCAGGGACTTGTTCGATTACAGAACAACCCGATGAGTAAAGATGTCATCCATCTGAGACAATCTTACGAGAACTTGAAAACAACATGCATTTAGTTTTGCCCGTATTAAGCACGAGTAAAAAATAAAAAATAAAGAAAATTCGGTAAGGGTTTCCTGTACGGCTGCAGAATCAGACCGTAGCCTTGCCACAGACAGGTCAGCAGTCGGGCCAACTGCGTACATAATAGCATCATCCGCATATAGATGAAACAGATTGACCAATAGCATTTATATAAATAGTGAAAAGAACAGGCCCTAGAATCGACCCCTGAGGAACACCTTTATGTACTTCAAGAAAATCCGACATAACCCCATCAATCACGATGGCCTGAGTTCTGTCACTAAGATAATCATGAAATCATCAGCAGGCGTCAGAGCCCAGGCCAATCGAGGACAAGTTGTTTAATAACATAGCATGATCAACAGTATCAAACGCTTTTGACAAGGTCCACAAACAAGGCAGCACAATTCATTTTATTTTAGCGTCTAAAGAATTGACAATATCATCAACAACTAATGTGGTTGCTGTGATAGTTCTGTGCTGTGTCCTGATTGGTTAAAAATACCTCAGATAAAAAAAAAGAAAAAAAAAAAGAGCAAAGTTGTTTATTTACCAAAGATTCGAGAATCTTAGCTAGACATGAACGCCTGGAGATAGGACGATATTTATCAAGATCACTACTATCCCCGCCCTTATGGAGCAATGGTACATACGCTGTTTTGCATACTTTAGGAATATTTCCTGAGAACAATGTTAGATGTAAAGATATGGGTTACTGAGCCTCCAATTGGGTGGCAGGTAGCTTAGTGGTTAAGAGCGTTGTGCCAGTAACCGAAAGGTTGCTGGTTCTAATCACCGAGCCGACTAAGTGAAAAATCTGTCAATGTACCCTTGAGCAAGGCACTTAACCCTAATTGCTCCTGTAAGTCGCTCTGGATAAGAGCGTCTGCTAAATGACTAATTATTTATTATTAATTGGTCAGCTGCTGTTGATTTCTTGGTATTTATAGCAAGTAAGGACTTATTTTTCGGTGAATTGCCGCAATGCCAAAACGTAAACATTCAGAGTCAATCTGCAAAATTCCAGAATCAGCATTTAGCCCACTCTTAGAGATAGTAGGGCTAACCCGTTGAAATAAAATTACGATTAAATGCATCAACGATGGCATTTTGGTCCATAATGGGGCCAGAGTCTGAATTAATTTGTTGGGGCAGAGAGGAGTAAGTCAAATCCTTCAGAGATTTGAGTTTAAGAATTTAGCCAGATTCCCCTTACAATCAGAAAGAGTGGATAGATAATAAATCAGATTTAGCCTTTCTGATTAGTCTTATACATTGATTCCTCAGTTGCCTAAAAGATTGCCAATACGGGCCTAAGCCTGTGTTCCTGGCATTTACCCAGGCAACATTCTTAAGAATGACTTCAGATAATATCATCTTATCATCATCAAGGACAACACAATAAAGCTTATCATCATCAAGGACAAGACAATAAAGCTTATCATCATCAAGGACAACACAATAAAGCTTATCATCATCAAGGACAACACAATAAAGCTTATCATCATCAAGGACAAGACAATAAAGCTTAAAAGCTTATTTCCATTGTTGTCCTTTTGGAGGGGGAAGAGGGGAATGCAGCAAGGTTACACGCCAACTGATGTAAAGGGAGCAGGATTATCTCCAATAGTATCGAAGACATTTACTAAAAAGCTTCAAGCTAAAATCAGGTTCAGGGAATAGCTGAGATACAATCAAGGTCACTAAAATATAGATCATGTAAAAAAGCTTGTTCACTAAAGTTTTTAAAGTTCCTCTTAGTGATGTCACTAGGCTTAGATTGATGCATTCTCATATCTCTGACAGAGAGACCGGTTTAGCTCAGAGCAAATATCTTTCAGCGTATCTCAAATCAATATTAAAAACACCCAGAGGAGAGGAGGAGGAAGAGAGGAGAGGAGGAAGAGAGGAGAGGAGAGAAGGAGGAAGAGAGGAGGAGGAAGAGAAGAAGAGAGGAAGAAAGAAGGAGGAGAATAAGAGAGGAGGAGGAGGAGAAGAGAGGAGGAGGAGGAGAAGAGAGGAGGAGGAGGAGAAGAGAGGAGACAAGAGGAGAGGAGGAGGAGGAGGAGGAGGAGAAGAGAGGAGGAGGAGGAGAAGAGAGGAGACAAGAGGAGAGGAGGAGAAGAGAGGAGGGTGTGGCCAGTAGGTTAGAGGGTATGGCCAGTAGGTTAGAGGGTGTGGCCAGTAGGTTAGAGGGTGTGGCAGTAGGTTAGAGGGTTGTGGCCAGTAGGTGTAGAGGGTATGGCCAGTAGGTTAGAGGGTGTGGCCAGTAGGTTAGAGGGTGTGGCCAGTAGGTTAGAGGGTGTGGCCAGTAGGTTAGAGGGTTGTGGCCAGTAGGTTAGAGGGTGTGTGGCCAGTAGGTTAGAGGGTGTGGCCAGTAGGTTAGAGGGTATGGCCAGTAGGTTAGAGGGTGTGGCCAGTAGGTTAGAGGGTGTGGCCAGTAGGTTAGAGGGTATGGCCAGTAGGTTAGAGGGTGTGGCCAGTAGGTTAGAGGGTATGGCCAGTAGGTTAGAGGGTGTGGCCAGTAGGTTAGAGGGTGTGGCCAGTAGGTTAGAGGGTATGGCCAGTAGGTTAGAGGGTGTGGCCAGTAGGTTAGAGGGTGTGGCCAGTAGGTTAGAGGGTATGGCCAGTAGGTTAGAGGGTGTGGCCAGTAGGTTAGAGGGTGTGGCCTGGCCAGTCTAGTGTCCTTGCTAAAGCACCATGGCCTAAAAACAATAGTCAGGGGAGTTGGTTAAAGCTCACATCTGAGACCAGGCTAGCAACACATGGTGGGTGAATGAATGAATGAATTCATGGACCAGACTAGCAACACATGGTGGGTGAATGAATGAATGAATTCATGGACCAGACTAGCAGCCCAGATGCTGCCGCTGGGTTCTGCTGATGTAGTCATCAGGGCGGGCCTGGCAGCGTGGTGTTGATTTTATTTAACCCTTATTTTACCAGGTCAGTTGACGGAGAACCCATTCTCATTTACAGCAACGACCTGGGGAATAGTTACAGGGGAGAGGAGGGGGGGATGAATGAGCCAATTGGTAGCAGCATGGTAGGCGTGTCACTGAGTGATTAATGAGCTGACCCAGGTCTCTGGTACCACGGTGCTACTGGCATGGTACTATGTCTGACTCTGACCGGTTCCAGCTTCATTACTGTACTGGCTCTACCCATGGGCTGCGAAGCCTGGTCCCAGATCTGTCCAACGAGGCCTTACAGCTGAACTGGCTCGACTGACCTTGGTGGTCATGCCTTGTTGCCAACTCCTCTGACTAGACTATATAACAGTTAGAGCAGTTGGCTACGGTAAATACTGTACATATCTGGACCAGCTGGCAGTGCCAACACCAGCCTACTGAACAGGCCTCTCTGTGCCCAGGCCACCACGTATCCCCCTGGCCTGGCACAGCATGGTCTGAGTAATACCA